AACCCAAAAAAAATTTCTTTTGCATTCTTGATTGTGTTCTTGAATCTTGATACATGTTCTCCAGTTTCTTGAAAAACAATCCCGAAAGTGTTTTCCCTTTTTCCCGAAAGTGTTTTCCCTTTAGATACATCTTGGACTAGATTCATATCAAGATTGTTTGACTTAGTATGTGAACAAATGTTTTTCCAAAGTATATTCTATAGTACTTTACAGGGTTGAGTGTGGTTATACTTAGCTTGGTGCTAACAAGTGTTTTCCTATTTGTCTATGCGTTGTTTGTAAAACCCCTTTCAGGTGGGCCCAGCGTTTGAGAGCTGATCGAGTTAGACTAGTCTAGTAGATCTAGTAGTCTGAACTCTCTTTATTATCATGATGTTTAGTTTGATGGATTTTTAGACTTTGATGTTTATGATTGATGTTAGACTTCGGGATGTTTCCCTTTTGACTTTTGAATTTAAGTAATTTGAACGTTAGTTTGGATTATTGATTTAGTTCCATCTTTAGCCTATGCAATCACCGTGGAGAGGTGGTTGTGGCGGTGACATTCCCACTAGTTTATTTATTTAAGTTTATTTTTCCGTTGCTTAGTTTATCTTAATTTGGTTTTAGAACTTTAATTAAGTTTAAGAAAAGTGGGGTATTACAGTGGGTTAATTAGTTTTTGTTAAGTAAGGGTTATTAAGAAATGCTGTAGCTTCGTGGTAAGGAGGGTGTTTAGTGATGGGAGAAGTTAGGGTTCAAATCCCACCTTTGTTTTAATTAATAGTTTTATTAGGTAGGTTTGGTTATTAGCTTAACTACTAGTGTATTAGTGTTGTGATTAATTTATGAATAGGATGTTTAGCTTAGATAGTTGTGTTTATGGGTAAATTAGCAAGGAATTAAGGTTCAAATCCCCTTATAAGCTTAATTAGTTTTAAATAGTACTCTTGTTAATTAGTGAAGATCCGGTTTAATCCACAGTTTTCCAGTAGCATGGCTTTATGAGTTGAGCCTAAGTTGGCGTTGTTTTTGGATGGTGGTAACCCATGATACACTCATACACAAAATCTATTTTCACTTGATAATAATGACCATTGACTTCTATGTGATGTTCTTGATGTGTTTGAGTGATTTGATGCATGATCTTTCGATAATGCACAAAATCTATTTTCACTTGATAATAATGATCATTGACTTCTATGTGATGTTCTTGATGTGTTTGAGTGATTTGATGCATGATCTTGTGATAATACATGCTTAGAGCTTGTATTTAGGGTTCTTGTATCCTATTGTTGAGCTATTCATGGGTTCAAAGTCATATATTTGTTGTTTGGAAGATTTGGGGTCATTTGGACTTGAACTTGACCTTGAAAGTGAAATCCGCGAAGTGCTGATTTTTGGTACAGGGGTGTTCCCCGTGGGAGGAACCGCGGGGGGGGAGTCCCACCCGTGGCCCCACCGCGGGGTACATGTTTGAGAAAGGGTGGGTGGTTGTCCGCCCACCGATTCGCCCACTTGTGTGTGATTCTTTAGCCTCCATTTGATTGGATTGTTGAGTTTTTGTGCGTATCCTTGATGTTACTTATGTCTAGAGCGATGTCTTAAGTGTACATGTTAGGACTTGGTGTCTTGAATCATGTTTGTGGTCCAACTTCGTGATTCGATGGATTATTGTGAGTCTTTGAGGTTTATTGGAACCATTTTGGTTTACCCGTTTGATATGCATGCTAGTTTTGGTGTCATTGATGCTAGTATGTATTGTTTGTCCCTTTGTATCGAGAATTGGCAACTCGTGTTGCCAACCATGTTGATATTGGATTGAGGTCCATTGTTGTTGTTGAGTATCCTTTCATGTCCTTCATTGAAACCCCTTGCTTGGATCCCTTGATGTGATCCTGTGTGTATGATCATTCCTTGATTAAGCTATTGTTGAGTTTATCCCTTGTTGTACACACTTTGTGTGGCATCTATGTGTTGTTGTATCTCTAGATTCTGTGTGTATTGACTCTTGTTGAGATGATGGATTGATGTGATGAGATGATTGAGCTGGTAAAGTGGACAGTGTGGGGACTTATGTGTGAACGGATCCGGTAGTGGGTTTAAAGCTCCGGATTGCCGTTTGGTTACTTGTGACTTGTGGGCAACATGGAAAACTCATTCCAGTTGCCAGAGATGGTAGCTAACCCGTTGAGCTTGGAATCTCAATAGGGTGTGTATACACTTAAAGTTGCTAGCTCTGCTTCCATTGGGCTGCGGTCCTTGTCATTGCGATGACACTATAGCATGTGATCCGGGTCGTTGCGATGAATACGTGATACATGATTGATGATTTGGAGACCTCCACACTGATCCACTATGAATCGAGCCGTGGTGCTGACTCCACGGTATATGACTTGGAGTGATTGTGTCCTATGAGGACTTGGAAATCGTTGTGGTGTGAATCTTGTCTTCCATTGCTTAAGAGCATGTCTTTTGTGAATCCTTCATTGTGACTCGTACATTGTACCTTATTGTTGAGCTTATTGCTTGTGGTTCTATTGTCTTATTGAGTATGTTGGTCTTTGTTCTTTGTTGTGAGTGATTGATGAGTCTATTGATGTTTCCTCTCTCTCGGCTTTAAAATGATATATAATGTATTCCCAGTTTCAAATGGTTTTGATTATATATATGTATATTATGATACTTAACGCGTGTTGGTGGGTTACCAGCATTATTCGCTGACCGGGTGTTATCCCCTTATCTTTTACAGGTTGAGTAGCTTTGGAGAGCGCGCTAGTGACTTGTAGATCAGATAGATTAGATCTCTTTCTTTAATAGTTGTTGAGGCCTGTGAGCCTAAGTAGTTGATCTGTTAGACTGCTTAGTAGTTAGTGTTTGTCTGTGCACCTAATGTTGTGTAGGTGTGGCATAACATCTCCCGAATCATGTTTAGCTTCCGCTTTATGTTATGCTTAATGATAGACTGTTTCCTCTGAATTAAGTTTAAAAATGTTGGTAAATTCGGGGGTGTTTACATTGTCCATCTGCTAAGTGTTAGGCCGTGCTTGAGTCTAACTGTCTTGCTTTGCACCCCTGACCGGCTGTCTGATTTGGGGTATCTATCAATGGTATCACATCACCAATATGCATCATTTTGAACATCAAATAACATTCATTTCTTCATTCTAAGTACCCAAAATATATAAACACACAAACAACTATATCACATAACTTAGGACAAAAATAATAGGTTTAGGCATCCATGGGTTATACCTTGAGATTGCTAGCCTCTACCTCAAGAATCCTTCCTTTCTATCCTCAAGCTTAATCTTCTCTTTCACCACCTCTCAAGACTCCCAGACCAAACAAGCAACAACATACTCCCACATATAAAGTACATACGTAGCAGTAAGAGGAAGAAGGAAGAAATGAGAAAGATAAGGAAGAAAAAGAAATGACAAGGAGAAGGCTTACTAGAGGATGTTGAAATCTCTAAGCTAGCCGGAACCCTTGGTTTCTTGAAGGAGGAATAAAGGAGAAAAATGTGGTAGAACAAGGAATAGGGTAGTATTTATAGGTGGGGCTCAAAACCCTAGGGCTGATTTGTTCACATGGCTAGGAAGGGCAATTTGATCCTTTCTTGATTTAAAATCTCGGTTTATAATTTAGGTTCGTTTTAAAATCGTTTTTGGGTTAAAAACAATTCTATCATATTCACTGGTTCATTTCAGATAGCCTTTCAAATCAAAGTTTTGGCAAATAAATATATCCCTTAATGTAGGGTTTCCAAAGCCATAATAATTACATAAATATTTTATATCAAAACTTTGGAATAGAAGGTTTAAAAATATTAAATTATATATCTGTAGGAAAATTATCGAATGAAGAGAAAGAGGTTTTTAAATTTCAATTTTTTGGAATAAAATAAGAGTTTAGTAAGGTGAATTTTCGGGGTATCACAGATTGCTTTGTTACAAAGGTATGGTTTTTTTTTTTTTTTTTATTACGTACATCCGCACTTATTCCACTTATTCTTGGGTGGTAGTGGGTGGCGGGTTGGGTGTGGATCTTAAAAAAAAATAAACCCGCAGTGGGTCGGGTTGGATTTGGGTTCTATGTACAAAACCTGCCTAGAACCCCACCTGACCCACCATATTGTTATTTATATGAGTTTCTATAACTTCATCACTACTACAGAATTCACATATAACGTTAGGCTTCCACGACGTTATATGTTACAAATAAAAAAAATAAAAATAAATAAATACAATACAACGTCGGCTATTGAAACGGTCGACGTTATAAGTTATTTTATTTTATTTTTTTTTAAATTCGTTTAAATCACGACGTCGCCTATTAGTTAATAGCCGACGTCGTAGAGTTTTTAAAACCCTTCTCCAAATCTAAAAATAAAAGCAAATATTCCGCGCCCCCTTCCCATTCATTCTTCCGGCAAATTATATTATGCACCGCGGTGCATAATCGATTATGCACCGCGCGTCTTTTTTTTTTTTTAAATAAAAATTAACAGTGTTTATTTCCGCCGTTTCACACCCTTTTACAAAAAGTAACTCTGTTATTCAGTGTCATTTTGTATACACTGCAGTTTCAGTTGAACACAACTATAGTTTCATTTCGATATAACTATAGTTTCATTCGATATTTTATAGACTCAAATATGTGAAAATGTTATTTAATTTTATTTTATATACACTATAGTTTTATTAAAACACAACTACATGATCATTTTGATATAATTACAGCTTCATTGTACAATATACACTCAAATATGTGAAATGTTATTCAGTTTCAGTTTATATACACTGCAGTTTCATTTCACTATAACTATAGTATCATTTTGATATAACTGCAGTGTCGGTTTGGATATACTGTAGTGTCAGTTGGTGTTTAATACACCAAACAAACGGACTCCGTTAACTCTAACGGCGGGCCGTTTCTTTACTTAAAGAAACGGTGTCGTATATGGGCCGCGGTGCATAATCGATTATGCACCGCGGTCTACAATATAACAACTGCATTCTTCCTCGCCTCCGCATCGCCCAAATCGCATGGCCCAAGCCTTCACCGCGACGTGTCCCCACCACCGCGACACCGCCCAGCGCCATAGCCATCGCCACACCTCCCAGGCTCCCAGCGCCCAAGCCTTCGGTTCGACGCCTCCGATGTTAACCTGCACAGCCACAGCCACCCACCGCACATCCACAGCCACCGCACATCTCCGACACTGCCGCCTGTCTTCCCGTTGGTAATTTTTTTTAATTAGTATTTAAATTTTATAATTTCTAATTATTTGAATTTATTTGGTAATTTTCCCTTGGGGTAGGGTTAGGGTTTGGGTGATGGGGTATTAGAGAGTTGAACTGTGTTTTGATGTAGAGTATTAGGATTGGGAATAGAGAATTTTTAATTTTGTTTCCAAGTGCGATCTATTGTTTCCAATTTTATTCCAGATTCTCAAACTAACCTTTTTGTTGTAGGGAGAGTTGAAGGATACTGATCATTCTCATGAACTTGAAGCTGCCAAGTCTGGTAACAAACATCAGGTGCTTAAATTATTCTTCTTGCAAATATAACTTGTGTGACTGCAGTCTCTTTATTTAACATTTATAATTGTTTAACATTTATAATAGTTATTATTCTAGTCAACTTTTCTGAATTATCTGTGTTTTTGTTGCTATTATGTCATAGGTAGATATAATTAATATTTAATATAGTATAGTTATGTATTTGGAATTTTCTTGTTCTTGTTCAGTTGAAAAATTACATTGTTATGTGCTCTAGTGTTATTTATAATTTGGCTCCAATCACAATAGATCATGTGATTTCTTTTCTAGTTTTGCCCTTGTGTACTAGTGCACTGCTTCTTTGGCTTACAGAGATTTTATGGTTTCATTTTTTAGTTTTGTTGTTGTAATAAGGAGACTTGATCTAAATATATTTCCTCAAATGACATTAGTACACTAAGACCATAAATGGCATTAACTGGTACAGTTTTAATTTGCACATAATAAGTATGAGCAAGGAGAAAGAATTGGAAATGCAGAGAGAAGACCTGCAGAAAAAACCCGAGAACACAAGGGGGAAGATCGTGGAGGGCTGGGTTTCGAAAAGGCTTGGAGAGCTTACTCTTCTGGAGCAGCCCTTCATTAAGGACGACAGCGTTTTGGTGAAGCAAACTGTTGCGACTCTCGGGGAGAACGTAAAGGTCAGGAGGTTCATTAGGTTTACGCTTGGCGAATGATGAGACGAGGGAAAAGGTAACTGATTCAAACTATTTTTGTTGCTGAGTATACTCGAGATTCATTTTTGTTGTAGTGCAAAGTTGTTAGCTTTCTTATATCAGACTCGTCTTCTTCCACATCTCTGATTTTGCACCAGTTTGTATTGTTATTTTCACTACTTTTTGAGGCTTTGAGGCTTTGAAGTTGGAAGAGAAGCAACCGAGGTGTAAGCAGATTTCTGCCATGGAGATCTTTCCTGGCTTCCAAGTCAAATTATTCGAGTTCGATTTGATGAATGTTTAAATTCGATTTGGTTACTGATGAACCGAGCTTAACTTGAGTAGTTTGAATAATGAATCTACCTGAATTCAAGCATTTTAATATTTGACACAAATTGTTCTTGAGCCTAATCAAACTCTTTTATTTATTTTTGGAAGAAAAAAAAAAAGTTAAATAGGCTCAGAACTTATACGAAAAGTCCGTTAGATGTTTGAATTTTTAAAAGTAGCAATGTGATTTTTGTGCATTTGAACCTAATAACGACTGTTGAAGATAAATGACTGTTGTTTTAAATCTTTTTTTGGGTTGTGTAACAGAGACCACAACTTGTTAAAGGGAGCATGCAATTATTTTCAGTTGATCAGCAACGCAGTCAAGCTCTTGAAGCCCATGCTGCTTCATTTGCCTCATTTAGAGTGAGAAAAGCTCCTTCTTTGCCTGAACCTTTTTTGCTGACTTTGCTTGCAAATAGGTTGTGACTGGTATACTATGTCAATTAGCTGCATTGATATAGGTAAATAGGAGAACACATTACCAAATCTCTTGCATGATCAGATATATTTATTATCAAGTCACCATTTGTACCATTTCAATGGTCCATTTGTATAACAATGGTTCATCTTTGTATATTTTATTTGTATACAAAAGAATAAAATATACGTCGGTTTTATAAAATATTATATATATATATATATATATATATATATATATATATATATATATATATATATATATATATATATATATATTTGTATACAAAAAGAAAAGAAAATATACAACATTGGTTTTATAAAATATTTATACAAATCGAATTTGTATGTATATTTTTTTTTATTTTTTAATAATACTTTCAACGTCGATTATTTAGTAATAATCGACGTGTATACTTATTTTTTTAAAAAAAATAAAATATACAACGTCGGTTATTTCGTAATAACGGACGTGGTATATTTTTTTTTTTAAAAAAATAAGTATACACGTCGGTTATTTAGTAATAACCGACGTTGAAAGTCTTATTAAAACATAAAAAAAAAAATATACAACGTCGGTTTTTAATTTAGCCGACGTCGTATGGTTTACTATACAACGTCGCCTATAACAACGTCGCTTTTTAGCCGACGTTAAAGGCCCTAAATTGCCGACGTTAAAAGCCTTCTGTGTAGTAGTGCATGTAAATTTTTACTATTTTTATATTTAAATTACTAAGTTTATTTTTAAAAATTAACAATTTAGTTATTATATTTAAATATTTCTATTATTTTATGTTTTAGTATAACTAATAAATTTTATTATTTTATTATGTGTAAATAATTTAAATATTATTATTTTTTAAAAAATAATAAGATTATAAGTGGTGGGTACCCGTAGTTGGAATCCGCACCCAATGGGGGTGGGACTGTGGGCGGAGAAAATATAAGGTGGGTCGGGTGATGGATGTAGCCCTCCCCGACCCACACCCGACCCATTGTCATCCCTTTGCACGATGTTACACACGAAGGAGTGCAAAAAACGTTATTTCGCCTGTCCCGATAATTTTTTTGGGCGGGGATGCAGAAGGATGTCCGTGACTTCATCCTTAACTGCCTTACTTGTCAACGTTGCAAAAGTGAGAATTTACACCCGTCCGTTCTTCTTCAACCTTTACCGATTCCTACACTCGTCTGGAACGACACTCCTTGGATTTCATCGAATGTCTACCTAAGGTCCAAGGTAAATTTGTCATCTTGACGATCGTCTGTGGGTTATCTAGGTACGCTCACTTCATTCCTCTTGGTCATCCCTATAATGCCACAATTGTTGCTGCTTCCTTCTTTGTAAATGTTGTCAAACTCCATGGCATCCCCGAAACAATTGTCAGTGACCGTGACCCAACGCACAAGGAGATGGTGCTTGATTGCAGGTTGCCTTGTTTCTCCACCTTACAATTATGTTGATCTCGTGGTCAATAGCTAGTAGTCCTTGAACACCTTTGGATCAAGTTTGCATGAAACTACCCTTCAACCTACAATCACAAGGACAAAAGAATGTTTCTTGCAACTAAAAGTCGTTGCTTGTGAGAGTAGTATCAATTTAAGTGACAAAAAGTTCAAAAGTAAACAAAGTAAATTGTAAAAAAAACAAGTAAATGGGAGGACTTTCTAACTTGAATGCTTTCTCATGTTAATCCAAATGGACTCACTACTCAAACAGAAGCCACTCCCTGGCACCGACGCTATTTGAAAGTTGATTTCTAGTGAGAGTGAAAAGTGAGTATCGTCCTCAAGGAGTAGGTAGAGATGATTTGGGTAGAGAAGGTTTAAACACAAGTGCATTGAGTGTTTGATTGCTAACCCAAAGAGAGTAGGTGATTGCATAGAGTAACAAGTATCGAAGAAAGCAATTGATTGAGTAAAAGACAATGAAAAAAATGGAAGATTTAGATCAAACAACCTTGCATATATGCTCATGAATATTCTAAGATTCTAAGCCAAGCGATGCTTAACAATGAAATTGAGGAAATGGTTTAAGTGTCAAAGCCACTCTCATGGACATTGATTTATCACCTAGTCCCTAGTCCCATTCTCATAGCAACTAGGCTAAGTGAGACAATTAAATAAAAACTTAGTGTGTTCATTCCCTTCCAACTCCCTTTTCTCAAAGGTGAGCTAGAAATGTGATAGATTTGGCTATGGTAAAGCCCTATTCTCATAAGAGAGTCACCAAATCCATAAACCTCTTGCAAAGTTGGGCCCAAACTAAAAAAGAGTCAATACAATTCACTATTTTCAAAATCAAATTCATCATCAAGACCTAGATTTGGAAATTCAATTCACATAGGCATCCATACCAGGAAATTCAATCCAAATTCATAGAGATGATTAGCTACTCATGATTGAAATGAAAAGGAAAGAAGCAATTGAAGTAACGGTCATTGAATTCAAGATCACAAAGAAAATTAAATGCAAGAACTGAAATGGAAAAACATATCTTGATGCTTGAAATTAAAAGAGCAAATCATAGATTTGATATTCAATTGCAATATAATTACAAAGTGAAACCTTCCTCTAGATCTTCCAAATGATGATGGATTATAATATAGAAATATTTGGGAGAGTTTCTATGGAGAAAAAGCTAGAGAGAAACTGAGAAATGAAAAGTTTTCACAAAATAACCTCTCTAAGCTATTTATACTTGAAAATCATGCCAAAATAACCGCTTGGGAGTTGCCACTGGTTGCTTAATCACGGCGGAGTTCACAACTCCATCGAGACCTTGCCTAGTAACCTCCAGAACGCAGGAGTTCACTATGACCTTCACGGCGTGAAGGTCATCGTGAACCCTCAGACCAACTCTCCTTTCAGGGTTCACGCTGACGTGACCATCAGTGTGACACCTAGAACTTGCAAGTCAAGATGGAGGTTACGGTGTGACCTCGTGAAGTGCTAGGCCACTTGCGGATGTTAGGCCATCACACTGGTGGTTACACCGTAACCATCAACGTGACGCCTAACAACCGAAAACTGGTAAGTTTGGTAATAGAGGAGTTCACGTTGTGAACTCCATCGTGACCACCTCTCGGAGCCACTTTTGGACGCCGTCTTCTCTCCCTTGCTCCGTGCCAAGCTCTATCTTGGAGTTTTGTTGTGCCCTTTTTGCCTTAGTCTCTTCCCGAAATGTCCTATTTTCCAGTTCATGCAAGCCTAGATCAAATCTTTCCCTCATACAATCACAAATACATCAAATTAAGCCTTCTTCCACCACACTTACGAAGCATTCAATCAAAATTAAGCAGAAAATGAAGCACAATTATAAGCTATTCCATGACTTATCACTAAGCGCCAGAACATTTTTAAATGAAGGGAAACATTTTTATGGCAATTATATACGTTTTTGAAATCAATGTATAATGTTGTGTGCAAGCTAGGACTTTTTTTTTTTTTTTTTTGAAACCTGGCAAGACTTTAGAATTTGCTGTTATCACAACCAACGTGAAGCACCTTCTGCATTGATGCTATTAAAAAAAGTTTGGATTGGAGTCAATTTAAAAAATTGGTGTTTCTGTTTTTAGTGTCGGTTCTTAAAAGTAACATGAGATTTTTATTTTTATGTTTTGGGGTGACAGATTAGTCATCATAGAAAACTAATTTGTATATACCCAGTAATTGCAATATAAATCGATTTACAAAATATAAGTCATCAACTGAGCAGTGGAAGGACTTAGGAGTCTAAAGACCTACATCCTATCAATGTAGGTAACCAATTACCTAATGCTGACCAAGTTCTAATAATTAATCAGCCTAAATAGTTTGCACCACATAAATTACTTAAATATTATTATTATTATTTTTATAACAATCCTATTAATTATAATAATGGCATTGCTTCTTTTGCGGTCTAACAAATGGGATGAATCCCGGATTTTTATCGTTCTCACGGGATCACAAATTGGAGTAGCCTCTTGGTGTCAATATAGAGAAAGAGCTTTGTGTGTACTTGAAGTCGTGTCACGCCTTTTCATTATGGTTGTAGTAAACAAATAATCAATTGAATTATCTAAACAATGAAATGAAAGTAGGGTTGAATTGTTAGTTTTGTTCACGATGCACTCAAGATTATTAGCCATAGGTGTAGAATTATGAATATGCTACAATCTAGGGATAGAGCTTGTGTCCTTTCATTCTTCAACTATTAGGACTTGTCTTAGTAGACAATAGAATTCCCCTTTAGGCTCTTAGAGTTTCTATGGCCTTTCCTCGAATACCTTGCCTACAGTACCTCCCAACCTAGTCTTATCGGATCATTAGGCTAGAAAATGTCAAGGATAGAAGCTTCAAGTGATCTAGCAATCTCTTGCCTAGATCACTTGCTTAGCTTAGAACAACCGTAGGAGGTGGCCTAGCTCCATAGGATGTATACAATACAATCCACAACAACAAGATTCCCAAACATAGCAACATTCAACACCTAATCTAAGAATTAAGTCACATTGGCATCATAAATCAAAACATCACAATCCAAACCCTAGCTAATCTAGCAAATCAAAGCCATAAGAATTGAAATTGCAAA